CTTAAAATGGTCAAAGAAATCTCATTAGGAACAGTGCTTTAGTAGAACTTCTTTTGAATGGACATACTTTTGACTTTTCAGAGGTATCTACTAATGGAAAGCTGTACTATATGTTATAAATAGAAGTATAAAGAAAATGTGAACATGTTTATCTTAAAATTTGATCGACTTTTTAGTTTCCTGAATTTTTGTTTTTGTAACGAAGATGTTACAAATGTATTTATCATTTTTCGAAGTCACTTCCTAATAAATTTTTAATAAAAATAATGAAATTTTACAATATAATATTTTATTTCTTTTTTCGCCAATCCATATTTAATAGTAATACAAACACAAGTCGACCTTGACTACAACTGGTACCTTTCATATTTTGTATCATTATGAAACATGTATTGAAAAATATGAATGAATAGTCAAAGTCTTTACTCTTTCATCTAAATTTTAGATACACTTATTTTAAGATTGTCTGAAAAAAAAAATTTATATTATTTCATCATGAATTCATCAAGAAGCAACTTAAAAACATGACAAACTATGTTTAGTTTATTATTGAAAGAAAAAGTATGAGTATCAAAAGAAAATCTAACATCTAGTAAGATCACTATTTATAGAAGTCCTTCAATTTTCATCTTAAAATAATCTCATATAACTAGTGACATAATCAGAAAAAAAAATTTTTGGACAAAAAAATATTCATCAACTTATAAGTTCCCTCTAGCTACTTCTTATTATATGGTTACGACATGAAGTGTAACTCTTAAGAAATTTGTTCAATAATCTTGATCAAACTGCTTCATCATATCTGTAGTACTGATTATTTTTCTGCAGGCATATTCATATATTAACAATCATAAAAGAAAACAAAACGATACTCATCTAATCAAAATAACTATCAAGTAATGAATTATATATACAAAAGAATAATAAATTTATTCATATTTACTTGTTTAAGACGATTTGCAATTCTAACTGTTGCTGATTGTTTATTTCCAAATAAATCTTGTCGAGATTTAGGAATTATTACACTTGTTTGTTGTTGAATACGAGGTATTGATATAGGTTGTTTAGCAATTTCACTAAATCTATATGAAATCATTAAATGATATTATTTTATTTTTAAAATAATATATACCTTTGATCAAGTGTTAATTTTGTACCTGATTTTAAAATAATTTTGCCAGTAATCATTGTTTTCTTTTATCTTGTTTCTTCGTCTATGTAATAAATGAGTGAGATGAAAAAAAAAATGAAATGAATATAAACGACAATTATTTTCCTTATGATGATGCGTGAGTGGGAATAAACAATAAGCAATTGATCGATTGGTTAACAAAAAATAATATTAGCAATGATTTATGAAGAAATAGTTTTTAAATATAATTCTAAGGTTTGAATTTTTTTCGCATAAAAAAAAACAAATTTTCTTTTTGCGTCTTTTTAAGGAGTCCTTTGTGCAAATTTTTATTGGTCAAGTATTTTAGCCAATGAAGACATGAATTAATTAGATAGAATAGAATTTACGTTTTCATTATGAAATATTTTAGATATTCATAGAATATGGATTTTCAATATCGAGTCGATGTTAAAATCAATAGTGATGATGTTATCAGTGTGTCAAAGTTACATTGTGATCGATACGAACGATTTCAGCAATTAATTCTTGAAATAATTAATCGTACAAAAGATTTTTATTTTATGAAGAATTATTTAAGAATATATAAATATAAATATAATTTAACTTCACATAATAAAAGAAAATTCTTATTTGGTTCATATACAATTAAATGAATATCAATCAAATTTGTAAGTTTATTGAAAATTTGAAATTTAAAACCATTAAACAGAAATTTGAGTAACACATCAAAAGTTTTAAACTCATCTGAAGATTCATCATTGATAAAATTGAAGTCTGAATCTTGAATAATTTCTATTTATCAAAAGAATAATTATCAATAATCATATCAATATAATTGCGACTGATATAACATGAGAAACTAATTTTCTGTAGACAGGAGAAGAATTATCAATGAAATTTTTACCACGAAACGTTGATAAGTAATATTTCATCTATTCCATAAGGGGTGACATTGAATACATCGCTTTAAATCATCTGAAATTTTCTTTCTACCAAAGGATTTAGTAAGCTAAATCTACTCATACTTGAATAACATCGAAATTTATTACATAGAAATGCAATATGAAATAAATTTCGATATCACAGGTCGACAAATTCTTTATTGAAAATATTCTTTGATCTATACGAGAGTGTATTCTCTTCTGGAGCAGCAATTTAAAGTTCTAGATGGAAGAACACTTATTTATAGAAGTACAGACACATACTATATTGCGCAATAAACTCAAGTACCGCCTTCATGTTAGATAAAATACTGCTATTCAAATAGTTCTTGTCGTACAGACTGATGTGCTCTAACAATTTTTGCTCTGTTATTGAAAGTTTTCGAACGGATCACCGCCAACTGTTCTTTCACTCATTTGATTTGAATTGTTCGACTTCTATTTATTTTTATTCATTTTTCGAAGCTTTTCTGACATTATGTTTTTTTTTCAAATCAATTTCATGTTCTAAAAAAAAGTATCAGAGTAATTAAAAAAATTTTAACAGATATTTTTTGTCATTATAAAATCTATGCATTTTATAATATGTTAGTTTCCTGTCATTCTTTAAAATTTACTTTTCGAAGAAAAAAACAAAACCAATCTACAGTAAAGCTAATGTTGAAATGTGTGTTTCGATATGATTTTTACATGTAATTCTTGTATTCATTCTATTGTATGATTAAATATTTTATTCAAAGGCACGATCTGTTGCACATCGTTATTAATAGACACTAATTGGAATTCAACCAATGATATCTCATATGAAAGGTGTATGTTATAAAAAGTAAATTGATTTTACTTGATCTTTCAATTAATTCTAATATAAAATTCGATCTATTCAATAATATTCTATGAAGATCATTAATTTTTCATTAGATAAAAACAAAACAACAATCATTTAAATAATTTATTTTAATATATGAAATATTATTTATCGAAAACATCATTTTATACTTTCAATCATATGAAACAAATATATTTTAAAGTGAATTTAATTTAATTTAAAATAATTCATAGAATAAATCTAATTGTTTTCTATGTTTGTTAAATTCTAAATCAAAAAGTAAAAAAAAAACAAAAACAAAAGAAAAAAATATATTTTTTATGTAAAAAATATACAACGCAGCTCGAGGCGAATGAATTGAAAAATGCGTTCGGAACAGGAGAAAGCGTTAAGAGAATTCGAAAAAAAAAGCCACGAGTATACTTTATATCAGCAGACGAATGTGTTCTAAGCTGCTTATTTACAACTCATTCGTTTGCTCAAAGCATTTTTTAAAACGTGTGTTTCGTATAAACGAACGCGTTTCCGTTTTATTCTCCTTGGCCTGAGGAAAAGAAACAAGTTTGAATAAGTTTTAGAACAAATCATTAATATTCGTCTTTTCTTCATTGTTGAAATAGTTTTTTTTTTTCGTTCTCCAATTTGCTCATAATCTTGAATCAAACAAACACTCAAATGTTCATTCAAGACTAAATACTCGTTTATATGTTCTAATACCGTTTCCATTATTTGTTTCAATATATTAACTATAACTATAAATTTCTATGTAGAAGAGTTTCTTTTCTTGAATTAGTTGATTTTTATTATGAATGAAAAATAAACGAACCATATTTCCTTCGGTTTCATATACATATATATATATATATTTATATGTAAGTACGTATGTAAATATTTCTCTTATTCAATCGGCATATGATACACGTCATTTTGACTCGATCTCTTTCTTTCGATATTGTTTTATATGTGTGATGCTATTTGTTCAATTGGATGTGTTCAACAACTCATTCTTTTCTTTTGTACATATATATGTCACGTAATAGAAATTTTTCGTTTAGACAAGTAATATTTGTACATTTTACACTTTAACGCTCCAAGGGAAAATGATCATATGTACAATTTAATGAATAACATATATACTCATAGTAATAGAAGTCACTGTAGTTATTTTTATTAACGACCATGTCCAGTAACTAATTGAAGATTTGATCATACAGTCTATAGACATTAGGTCAACTTATCCCCCTATTTTTTCTTCTGAATAAATATTGACATGCAGTCTTGATCGACATCAAAATAATGACAAAAAAGAAAATGAGTGAATAAATGTAAAAGATTATTTTTTTTGTTCCATGTCGTGTATGCGTGCTCATACTTAATTCTGTTCTCTTTTTTTTTCTTTTGCTCTTTCTTTTCTCGTATGACACAAAACGCGAGAAAGTTGTCAGCCAAATGAGACAGAGGGTACACACAAAGCGACATTGAAATCGACTGTTATTCTCTGAAAAAAAAAAAGAAGAACGAGTAGGCGAAGGGAGTAAAGAAAAAGAAAAAAGATGGAATCATACAAAAAAAAAAATAGAATGGAGTATTAATCGGTTTCTTTTTGTCGACCCTTTTACATAAAGATAAGAAACAACAATGAAAGTGAAGTATTTTGTGAGCAATGGTTAGATGACTATGGGTTGTGTATAAAGAAAAAGAAAAATGGAAATGTTTATTTTTTGATAAAGTTCGAGTTGTCTTTCGTAGACTATTCAGTAGGTGTTTTATTCAAAATACATCAACATACACTTTCATTGCTTGATTTTTTTCAACTAACAGTCGCCAAACAACATTTCTCTTTCCTTCTCTATTTTTCTTTTTTAATAGTTTTTTTTTTTATTTTTATACATTATATAAAACCCCCTTTCATTTCTATACGTTAGTGGCGGCAAATCAGTGTCCTGTTATGTCTATTTAATTATGGAATCTAGTCGATGAATACGATGGGACAGATTTTGTCAATGATTATTATATATAAAACAATGATAAGAATCAACTGTCAATGATGTCAAATATCGAACGACGTGAATAGTGTTCGTCCTCGATTTCATCTACAATGTACTCCTCAGTTGTTAACAAATCAACAGAACCTTGTCTTATATTACCATCGTCTCTTGTTACAACATCATTAATCTCAAATAATGATAGAACACTTATCAGTAATAATTCTACATTATCATCACCACAATCATATGGAAGAAGAGAAAATATATTAACATATACATCACATTCATCATTAAATAATTCAAATGATTATTATACAAAAAAACGTATTGAAGAATTACATGAACGTATGGATGATATTCAAATATCAAGTTTTTTAAAATTTATTAATTATCATTTATCATTAAAAAGTGATGAAAAAAAAATTTTTATAAATAATTTATCAAAAGATTTATGTAATGGACATATTTTAATTGATTTAATTGAAATATTATCATCAACAAAATTAAAACGTGAACATGGTCATACACGTTTTCATGCATTAACTAATGTTCAATATGTTTTAGATTATTTAAAAGCACGTCTGCAACATATTGATATATCACCAAATGATATTGTATCAGGAAATCGTAAACAAATATTAGCATTATTATGGATTATAATGAGAACATTTGATTTTCCAGCATTTCGTATAACAAATAAAAATTGTTTTGTAGAAAAAACACTTTTAGGTTATGGAGAAGATCGTAGTATTATTATAAATTGGTTAAATGATATTTTAAATCATAGTTTAAATACAAAAGAAATATATATTAAAGATTTTTATATTCATACATGGGATAATGGTTATTATTTATCAATAATTATTAAATATTTAATACCATTAAGTGAAAATTATTTAACAAATCAATGTTTTGATTATTTACAAGAATTAAATAAATTAAATTTATATGATACACAACGTTTTCTATTATGTTTAAATATTTCAAAGTATTGTTTTAATACAGTAACAATTATTGATTTGAAAGATAAAACTGAAAAATGTTTATTTAAATATTTTACTGAATTAAAACAAAATATTTTGATTATTTTCAAAACAAATCATATTGGAAAATTAATTCAAAACAATCCTTATACTAAACAAGTACTTGATACAGTCATTCGAACAGGAACAGGTAAATATCAGAGAAATGTTGAGATGATGTAATAGATTAAATCAATAGATATATATATATGTACGTTTCACTTTTTGTTTATAGAACATTCTTCACATATAATTAATAATAATGAAGAATATTTAAGTTGTATTGAAGATGATCATGAACAAATATCAACAGAAAAACATATAAAATTACCTATGGATTCTATAGGTCATTTAACAACATCATCATCAAATAATACTGATGTATCATCAGATTTACGAACATTAGAAAGATCAAGATTATTTTATGATGAACAACAAGAAGCAAAATTACAACAAAAAAATTCTTCGGATAAAATTGAGGATTTAGAAAGGTATTGTTAAAAAGAAGCATTGTCATAGTAAACAAAATGATGTCCTTGACCTATTACGAAATGAATGTTAAAGTTTTAATTAAAGAGATAACATAGAAATGAAATTTATTCTTCAACTATTGACATTTCCATCTATAACAAGACTAAGTTAGTCAAATAAGATGATCATTGACAATTTTTTAAAAACGGTTTTTTTTATTTTTTGAGATTTTCATGATTGGAAAGAGAAATTTGTTGAATATATTTTTTCCAATAATTGATATGTAATTCTAACAGGAAAATAATTAAAGTAGGACAGTTATTTGAAGAAAAAAAAGTTATTATACCCTTTGTTTAATATTTTATCTTTTCTTCATACCAATAACGAAGATCATAGGTCATTATCTTGTTTTTTTTTTTCGAAAAATAATGTAGGATACCTTTGTTACTGATATAACTATATCTCTAAGAAAAGAACATTGTTCTTAACGATTAAATTTATTTATTTATAGTAACTTTTATAAGGCAAATGCTTATAATGAAATGCCGAAAGAAGAACAGATTCAAACGATTATCGATCAATCACAACAACTTAATAGTTTAGGTGAAAATTCACAACAATTTGTATCGTCAGTTAAACAAAGTGAACAAGATACAAATAATTATGTAGACGCAAATCAATCAATAACTCCAATTGAAGATTCTAAACAATTTCCATCCACAATTGAACAACCCTTAATTGTTAATAATGAGACAAAAGAAACGATCATACCACATATTGAAAATCAACTAAATGCAAAATCGGAACAATCTATAACTGAAATACAAGAATCAAAATTGTTTTTTCCATCAAATGAAGAAGAGAAACAATCTACAGATGATTATGAACAGTCACAACAAAGTATAATATTACAAAAAGAAATTGAAGAATCTACTGAAAACAAAGATTCTACTATTGCTACAAATGAAACATTAGAACAATCTACTTTTACAATCCCAGAATCACCACAATCTATGGTAATGAATGAAAATTTAGACCAAATTATAATTGAAGAACCACAACAACAATCTTTAACTTTAAACGAAGAAGATAAACAATCGAATAATGAATATGAAAAATTAGAACAAATTACAATCGAAGAATCAACAAACCAACCAATAGTACCTACCGATGAACCAATAGATCAACCAATAATACTCATTGAAGAAGATAAAAAACCAACAGTTGATTATGAACAATCAGAACAATTGACAATGTCACAAAACGGAATTGAACAGTCTATTGAAAATAAAAATTCTATTCATACAGATGAAACATTAGAACAGCCTATTTGTATAATCAAAGAATCACCACAATCTACAACATTGAATGAAAATTTAGAGCAAATTACAACGACAGAACCAATAACAACATCAATTGAGGAACTACAACAACAATGTATAAGTTCAAACGAAGAAGATAAACAAATGAAAAATGAATATGAGAAATTAGAACAAACTTTAGCATTAATTAAAGAAATTGAACAATCAGTTAATAATGAATCTTGTATTACTGGTACTAACCAATTAAGACTTAAAATAGAAGAACAAGAAGAATTTTTAATATCAAATGAAAATATTAAACAGTCTAATGTTGAAATCGAACGATCAGAACAAATTGCTTTACCAATTACTGAAAATATACCTTCCATAAATATTAATGAAAAATCAGAACAACCTATAATTACAATTGAAGGTCAAACATATTCACCATTGAATACATCAATTGAGGTAAATTATATATCCGCAATTGAATATAAAAAATTGGAAGAACCAATTTCAAATGAAGGTTCTATTATTACAAACCATAAATTAGAACAAGTTACAACTGAAGAACCATTACAATCAGTTATATCAAATGAAGAAGCATCAATAAGATTGGTTGAAAATAATCATTCTATTATAACAGATGATCAATTAGAACAATCTACAACTAATAAATCATTACAAATGGTATTATCAAATGAAGAAAATACAATAAATAGTATTAACAACGAACATTCAGCTACATCTAACGGAAATTTAGAACAATCTATAATTAATAATGAAGAAACAAAGCAATGTACTATTGAACCTGAAACATCGAAAGACTCATCAGTTCAAATCGAAGAATTCATAGAAATTAAACCTTCTACTATGACAAATAATACATCAGAACAATCCGTAAATATCGAACCAACACAATGCTCATCATCAGACAAAGATCTTCAACAAACAGCATCAACAAATCTTAATAATTATTCCATTACAGTTGATGAAAACTTAGAACAACATACAACTCAACAATCATTACAAGACGATGAAATATTAAATGAAAAAACATTTATTGAAAATAATTCATCGATCATAACAAATAAAAAATTAGAAAAACCTACAGTTGTAGAATTACCACAACCTATTACAATAAATGAAGATATTAATAAATCAACAAATGAAAATCAAGAGTTCATTACCAATACTGAAGATTTAACACAAACAGTATTATCATGTCAAGAAATTCAACATAGTGCTACTTCCAATGAACAATTAATACAATCAAAAATCAGGATTAATCAATCAGAACAATGTACATTTCCAGCTAAAAAACCAATATTAACAACAGCAACAACATTGAAAGGCGCAAGTTATTCTGATGTTGTGAGTAGACAATTACCAAAACCAACAAATGAATCCGTAAAAACTACAGATTTATTTAAAAAACAAGCATATACAATAGAATCAAAGAAAAATATCATTTCACCTATAATAACAATACAAAAACCTACACAATATAACAAAACAGCTGATGAAATTGAACAAGTTCTTTTGACAAATACCATAAAAGAAACAGAACAATCTGAAGTATTACTTGAAAAACAAGAACAATCGGCTACTATCATTGAAAAAGAACATGACACATCAATGATATCAAATGGAGAATGCCAAATGTCTTCAAACAAAAATAATAAATCAAGACGATCTAATGCTAAAAGAAGAAAATCAAAAAAATCATCAGTTACAACTGAAAACTCACCACAACTTATCACTAATAATGATGATGATGATGAAGAGGAAGAAATCGAAATATCATTATCTTCTCAAAATCTAACAAGTACTATTCCAAAACAAGAAACAAGTAACATTAAATCAGAAATTGAAAATTCGTCAACAACACATAAAAAATCATCTAATGATAATACATCCACAAATCAGTAAATATTTCATGATTATTAAAAACATAAATAATTTTATGTTTTGTTTTTAGTGAAACTTCACAAAATTCAAGTGCCTTACGATCTCGTAAACATAAAAAGAAAACAACAACAACAACAACAGCAACAACATTAATCGAAAAATCTTCATCTACTATTATTCCAAAAACAACAATGGAAAATCGAAATGTATTTCTTATTATAAAAGAATATATACTTACTCGAAAAATTCTTGCATTCCTATGTGTTTTTATTCTTGTTTGTTTTTTGTTTATTAATTCTTATTATTTCTCGTTTTCATCATAAGTGATATTTATTTCCTATTGTTATTTGAACACAATCAACAATCCGTTATCTTTTCCTCATATTTCTTTTCTTTTTTCAAAAAACACTGAATACTCTATCTTGTTGAAACATTTTATTCATATTATCTTCTATGGCAAGTTTGTGTGTGAACAGTTGTTTTCTTTTTATGACATATAGATATTTTCAATTCAAATAAGAACTGACGACAGAAAGAAGAAAAAAAAAAAGTAAAAAATTAAAAATAAGAAACTTCTAAATAAATGAATTAATTAAATTTTTCAATAAATATCTTAATCAATTAAATATTCAACAAATATTTATTATTTAACAAAAGAAAAAGAAAAATGAAGTTAGTACATAGAACATCTTTATTTTTATAGATGTTGATTAAAGCCTTTTTATTTAATTATTCATTTCAACGTATAACAAACTATCGATGGTTATCAAAAACTCATCAACCATCACTTTTTGAACCCAAATGGGCATCAATATTTGCTCAAGCAACAACTAATTCATATTTACCATCATCAACAGTCAATAATAAAAAACCATTTGTTATGCTTTTTCCACCACCAAATGTAACTGGAACTGTTCATTTGGGTCATGCATTAACTACATCAGTTCATGATTGTCTTTTAAGATGGCATACAATGCAACAAAAATCATATGTTCGTTGTGTACCAGGTTATGATCATGCTGGTATTGCAACACAGGTAGATTTGAAATATTTTTCAATAACGAGCTTTTGTTGGTCAAGTTAAAACAAAAAAATGAAGCATAAAAATTTTATAGAGTGAATAGAGCAAGGATATTGAATATTGTTAATAGGAATAGAAACAATGTAGATATTAATCAAGGCTAACTTGTCGAACTTTGTATTTAGATTATGATAATGATGATATTTTACCTTGACATTATTCATTAAATATCAATTTTCTAAAATCTAGATATTATATTCAATCGAGTTGAATGAATTTATTTAATGATTTAATCAAGTTTATAGGACTAAACTTCTATTCTATATTAATATTGATATGATGCATAAAGAATATCCGAAATGTTTTGAAACGATTTAAAAAAATTTATCATTCTACCATTTAATAACAGTAAAGTCTAGTCGAATTTGATCGATTATTTTATATACTTAGGAATAAATAACTACAAAGTTTAAGGTCGATAGTTTTTACTGTACATGAAAAACTAGGACAATACTATCATGTACTAATTTATTAATTTTTCAATAGTTTAAATTGACCAGATACGATATAAAACTGACAGAAGAAATATTCATTCTTAAGTATTTTGGACCAGCAAATGCAGAAAAATTCTTCTATGAATAGTTTTCCGTTCTACTACGTATTGTAATGGTTTCTATGAAGTTTTAGCAATTTTTCCAACGCTAACCAGACTTTCTATAAAGACAAATCATTGATATTCCAGTTTCACCATGAGCTACAGTGGAATAAATCGAGAATAATAGAGAAACTCTATAATTTCGACAACTTGTTTAATTTCCCGTTGGAATTTGGACACTTTTTTTTATTATTGAAAGTCCTGTGGGAAATTTGACACTATGTCATAAATCAAATGGAGAAATTTCGATTTACTATTACCACGATAGTAATAGATTGGTAATGTTCAATCCTAATGAATATTCTAGTCGAAAAAAAAAGCATCTAAACTATTAGTTGTTTTACGACATGTAATTATTTAAGATAATTACAATCATAAAAAAAAAAAGAATGCTACTAACTTTCTATACTACTGAACTAGCTGATGTCAGATCTATAGAAAACATCTGGCATACATTAAAATAGACATCATGAGAGTGCGATAATCATAATAGTATTGAACAATGAAAAAACAACAATATAAAAGAAATGTAGAAAAAAAGAATTCAAATATTTCTTTCTATCAACTAATCGTTTGAAAACGTCTGTAATACTCCTAATCTCTTTTCACATGTATCATTTGTCTCAGAATCTAATAGAAAGTATAGATTCGAAAATATCTACTTCAGTTTTGAACATTTTTGCTTTCGACCAAAGTAGAAACAACTAACTAGATTCCGTATCTAAACAAATTCTAAAAAAATTGAATTCATTCACAAAGAAAAAAAAAATCAAGTCATGAAATTACAAATTTCTGTTAATTTTTCTTGTTTTCTTTTTCAAGGTTATAGTTGAAAAACATATAGCACCTCAAACACGTGAACAATTAGGTAGAGAAAAATTTCTTGAAGAATGTTATCAATGGTCTTCAACTTATCGTCAAACAATTGAAACACAATTAAAACGTTTATGTCCATTATTCGATTGGTCAAATGCTTATTTTACTATGGATAAAAATCTTGTTGAATATGTACGTGATTCATTTTTACGTTTATATAATGATGGTCTAATTTATCGTGATCGACGTATTGTTAATTGGTGTTGTCAGCTTCAATCAGTTGTTAGTGATATTGAAGTTGATTCAAAAGAAATAAATGGACGAGAAAATTTTTCAATACCTGGATATTCAAAAGATATTGAATTAGGTATACTTTATAATATTGCATATAAAATTATTGATGAACAACAAGATAAAGAAATTATTGTTAGTACAACACGACCAGAAACAATTTTAGCTGATACAGGTATTGCTGTTCATCCAAATGATCTTCGTTATATATTATTAAAAAATAAATTTGTTCAAAATCCATTTGATCCTCAAGATCGATTACCAATTATATTTGATGAAAGTGTTGATCAAAATTTTGGTACTGGTGCAGTTAAATTAACACCAGGTCATGATGCATTTGATTATACATTAGCTATGAAATATAAACTTGAAATTCGAACTATGTTAAATGATCAAGGTCATGTACAACTTGATTTAAATCATCCATATTATCGTGAATTAAATAATTTACATCGTTATGATGCACGTGAAAAAGTACTGCAATTACTTGAAAATAAAGGATTAAGACGAGGAGAAAAACAACAAGAAAAAATGATTGTACCTCTATGTAGTCGAACAGGCGATATTATTGAACCAATGGTTAAAGAACAATGGTTTCTTAATACAACTGAAATGTGTAAGTTGATTTGATTAGAACTTATTTCGATAGACATATATCCAACTCAGTTTTAACTCTTTACTTCTCATAGAGATTTCAGAAAAAGTCACTGATGAAACAATCATTGTTATATAATATGAGTATTCCAGAAATGTCAATAGTGTAGATAGATCGATCAGGTATACTATTGGCTATGACGGCAACTTGATCACTCCAGGGACCATTTGGGTGGAGAACAACGTTCCAAAAATGCTTCGGCAGGTCTTTCTTAAATCTGATGTAGTTAGACCAAAAAATGTTGTAAAGACCTCGACGACGTCTCCATTTGTAAAGAATTGTTCGCTCAATCATGATATATGATGAAAGCAAAAATTTATACTCGAGCTAAAAGCACTGAAAAACTAGAGGTTCGATTTTCTGACATATCACTAGTTGTCATTTTTTATCATACTATCTCTTATCTATCTGGCCTTTGTAAAACTTTCGAACGATATTAATATCAGTAGTAGAAGTTATCGTCATTAGATATTACTCCATACGTTTCCGCAAGACGATCTCTCGTTCTAGCGTACACTGATGCAATGTTTATCAAGTCTGCATCGAGCACTCTCTTAGAGATCTGCAAAATCGCTTTTTTTAGTCCCGGTCCCGGTCTTTGCCATTGGCTTCATTTCTAAAATCGAGCAACTTTTTTTACGATCTGTGTACTTTTATGAATACATAAAATTGACATAAATGATTTAGATTCGTTAACAGTAAGAGACTTCTTTTATATCCAGTCTTAAAGTTGAATGTATACAAAATTGATAAAAGTGTCTTTGAGTCGGTGTTACTTCAAGAATCAGTTTCATATGTCAAAATACAGATCAAAAGAACTGAAACTGGTATTTTTTGAACAAGTCTCGGAATGATTTTTCACAAGATTGAGCCTGAGTTTGTATATTTATTTTTCATATTCAACAAGTATTAAAGTTCGTTCTCAAATATAATCAAGTACAATAAAAAAAACTAAAGAGTTCAAATTACAACTCGTAATCAGTAAAGACTTTTATAGAAATAGCAAATAAAAATATTTGATTTACAGATCTTTAATCATGTCGAAATGATAAACATGAAAATATATTGCATAAAAAGCTGACCGAGACCAGTGTGAAAAATTCTTAGTCCTGGCCCGCAAAAAAGTCAAATTTTAGTTCCGGTACCACTTTGCAGTTCCCTACACTCTCTTCATCATTTCATATTTTAGGATTTCCTTGACACACCTGAACAATGACGCGAGTTTATCTCGCTGATAGTTACTAGGAAAGACATTTGTTTTTGAATATCTTATCAATCGATTGTTGCTATTAATCATTACTCAACTCCTCGTTGTTTTTTGGTAGTGACCACGATTCAATCTATGAAAAACAAATCCCGTTTTTTTTTTAATGAATAATCTCTTATGAATATTATTATAGGTCGTCAAGCTTCAGCCATTGTTGATAATGACGCTCTAAAATTAACACCATCGTCGACTTGTAAAGTATGGAAATATTGGCTTGATAATGCACGACCATGGTGTTTATCAAGACAACTTTGGTGGGGACATTCAATACCTATGTATCGATGCTCAATAAATAATAAATCATCTGAATATAAATGGATTGGTGCAAAATCACTTGAAGAAGCAAAAATAAAAGCTAGTGAATTATTTCCAGATATTCCATCAAATTCAATTCATATTGAACAAGATCAAGATGTACTTGATACATGGTTTTCATCAGGTTTATTACCAATATCAATATTTAATAAAAACAATTCACAAGAATTTCCAACAACATTACTTGAAACTGGTTATGATATAATGTTCTTTTGGGTTGCTCGTATGGTTATGCTTGTAAATATTAGCTTTTTTTTCCTAAATATGAACATTCATTTGGAAAAACTTTTTAATTATTAGAGTCTTAAACTAACAAATCAATTACCATTTCATGAAGTTCTATTTCATGGATTAATTTGTGATCCAAATGGGAAAAAAATGTCAAAATCATTAGGTTAATTTAAGTGTTTTGTCTTTCTCGAAAAAAAAACTTGATTCTTTTAATAAAGGTAATATAATTGATCCAATGGATGTTGTTAATGGAATAAGTCTTCAATCATTACAAAAACGTCTTGAACAATCACACTTGTCACGTAATGAAATTGAACGAGCTAAACATGCACAAGCAATTCAATATCCGTCAGGTATTGAACCAATTGGATCTGATGGTCTTCGTCTTTGTCTTTTATCTCATGATATATTTCAACAATCAATACGTTTTGATCCAACACAATTCGATTATGTTGCACGTTATTGTAATAAATTTTGGAATGCTTATAAATATGTAAAAGAATTTGCCTTAGCTGATATGAATCTTCATCATGATAATATATCAAATATAAATTATGAACAAATAGAAAAATTAGTAGAAAATCGTCTTGTTGATCGTTGGATATTAAATGAATTAAATAAAACAATAGGAAAAGTAAATGAATGTTTACATAATTATACATTTCATTTAGCTGTTGTTCGTTTACGTGATTCATTTATAAAAGATTTTTGTGATTTTTATATTGAATTTAGTAAAATTCCTATAAAACAACAATCAAACGATGATAATAGAAAATCAAATATTCAGATATTACTTTATTATTTACTTAAGCAATATCTTATTCTTTATCATCCATTTTTACCAGCTATGACAGAAGAATTATGGCAAGATTTAACAAACGGAAAACAAGGTTATCTTATTCATCAATTATATCCAATCATGAAAAAAATTGAAAAGTAAAATTCTTGATTTTGGTTTTTGTATGAGTTTTATTATCAGAGAGATAACTTAGCACTGAAGACAGGTGACAGAATATAGAGAGGTTGAGTTCTGGAGAAATGGTCGCTTCGTTTATAATAGTCAAAAGTGGACAATGAATGTCTCTGTTTGATATTATTTGAGAATACCTCCTAATATGATTCTTATAAGTATATGAAACAAAAACATTATAAACAATTGATTTTTGTTAGCGTTCCGATAGAAATGAGTTATCCTGTAATTTACAAATAATTGATTTTCTTGTTACTAAGTCTATTCAGAAGTTTTCTGAACCTCATCATTAATTGTAATACAAGATTTCCTATATTATAAACTAGAAATAAGAAAGAAAGATTGTATCATACCTTCTATTATAATAGAAGTTTAACTTCTATGTTTTATGTGACATGTTTGTTCGCGGTACAATCAGTCGGAAAACAACTATTGGCATATCACAGTAGAATAGCGGACAAAAGATAGCCAATCATTCTAGTATCGAACTATCGTCGATTTTGTTCAAATTTTTCTACCATATTTTAATGCTTATGAAACCTATTTCAGAGAACAATACATGTCGAAATTATTTTAATTTGATTATATTTTCTGTGATCATCTAGAGTTTCTTCTGCTGTTAATATGGTATTCTTATTCATAAGAGAGTTTTAGTGTTAAGTGATTTTAATATTTAAGTCTTAAAGAAGTATCATTGATATAGCACTTTTGTTTATATTCTTAGTATTAATCCAATTGACTCTCAAGTAATACAAATTATTCGTTTAATATTAAAAAATGCTACATATTTCAAACAAATGCTTCGTTTATTACGTGATTCTGATATTATCATTCATTTTTCTAATCAAGATCAAGAAGATTTATCCACACATATAGAAACTTATTTAACAGAAATCCGTACAATAACACGATTAAATAATATTCATATTTGTCGCTCTTCATCATCATTGAATAATTCTTTTAAATTATCAAAATTTTCATTTCGTGATTATATAACTGATAATATAGACCTTATATTTAATTTAAATGATAATAAACAATCAAGAGAACTTGTTCAAAAACATGAAGAACGATTAAGTAAACAAGTTGATAAATTACATGATGATATAGGTGTTAATGAGTTAGCTACGAAATTTTATCAAGATAATAATGATTTTGAAAATATTGAACGTGAACAACGTCGACGTGAAACTTTAATTGAAGATCTTAAACTAACTCAACGAAGACATGAAAGATTTGTTGAATTAGCTCAAAAACGAACTATTATTGAAAAAAAGAATAAAAATGAAAAAAAATCATAGTTGATTTTCAAATTTTTGTTTTTTGTGTGTTCTTAATAGTTACTTATTTTCATTTTTCACATTGATCAACGAAGAAATACGTTGTTTGCAAGAACTGGCCGTTATCTGTTTTTTTTATATATTCATATCAAATCGAAAAGATAAGCATAGAAAATAGTTTAGCAATGATTGATAGTTCTTCGCTAATTGATATACTTTTTACCATATACCAAAAATTATTCGATAGAGAATAGTATGTAATAGTTTTAGATTTTTATTTGTTTATTTGTATTGTATTGAATTAATAATACTTTCGAATAAAAGTCTGAGAAACTGTAAAACATTCGTAAGATTTTTTAAGAAGATATCTTCAATATATTATCATTTTATCGCCATTAGCAATCTTCTCAAGCTCGATTAGGTTAGATAACAAAAAAATGCAAAGGCGTCATTTGTTTTTATTTTTGTACTGAAAAATCATGAGTAATTTTGAGTAAATCCTATAATTATAATTAATACTTTAAAAAAGTATGAATAGTAATAAACTCATTCACCTTTCATTATAGAAGATGCCTGCAGAGAATACAATATGAAATTCATAATAAAAGACTGACATATTATACAACACCTTCTATCTAAGTTTACTTTTATAGAAAGCCGATGAAAAGAACGCTCAGATAACGTAATACGGAGAAAACCAAACTCTTCTAGATATGTTTTCTGATTATTTTCGTGCAATATTAAGAATATCATTGAATATAAAACAAATAAAGTTTTGTACTTTAATAAAGAAGACTAATTTCAAATGAGCTCCTTTGTAATGAGAAATCTCGAAAATGTAAAATGCACAAAAAATAAATCAGTTCGCATGTACATTAATTAGGATGTGGGTGTGGGTGGGTGTGGGGTGTGGGTGTGGATGTGGGGGATGTGGGTGAAGATCTATTACTTATCATCCACACCCACCCCCACACCCCCACACCCACACCCAGAAAGGTGATGAAAAACGATTAGATAATCTTCGACTCGATGAGACAAGAGAAGAAGCAATATTAGCAATTAAAAAGATAGCATCATCATCAGAACAACAATATGTACAAGAATTACAGGAAAAACTCAAAAGAGTATTAGAGCTTAGATTACAATATGATAAATTAGAGAAAAGATTTGTAGAAAATATGCCTCCACCATCATTAAATATATTCGATAAACTAGAATTACACGCAAAAAGACTTAAATCAGATAATAATCAATTAAAATCACTTCACGAACGATGGAAAAATATACTACGAAAAACAAAATTAGATCTAACTACATTAATGAGAGAAGCAAAAATAGGCGAGATAGAAGAAGCTAAAAAAGAATACCAAGACTTACTGGATAAACTCTCTGATCAACTTAAAGAATCATATAATGCTATATGTTATGTAATAGAAATAAGACATAATC